TTTTTCTATTTCTGTGAAAAATGCCATTGGGATTTTGATAGAGATTGCATTGACTCTGTTGATCAGAGTCTACAGAAGGTGGTATTAGTATGGACATTTTAATAATATTAATTATTCCAATTTAAGAATATATTTTTCCATTTATATGTGTTTTCTTCCATTTCCTTCTTTAATATCTTATAGTTTTCAGTGTACAGATTTTTCACCTCCTTGGTAAATTTATTCCTAAGTATTTTATTCTTTGATACTACAATTAATAAAATTGCTTTCTTACTTTTTCTTTTGGATCGCTTGTTGTTAGTGTATAGAAATGCAACTGATTTTTGTATGTTGATTTTGTAACCTGCAACTTTTCTAAATTTATTTGTTAGTTCTAACAGTTTTGTGGAGTCTAGGGTTTTCTACATATAAGATCATGCCAACTACAGAGAAAAGTTTACTTTTTCCCTTTCTTATTTGGATATCTTTTATTTCTATTTCTTGTCTGACTACTTGGCTAGAACATCCAGTACTATGATGACAAGAAATGATAAGTAGGCATCCTTGTCACATTACTGCTATTAGGGGAAAAGCTTTCACCTTTTCACCATTGAATGTAATGTTAGCTGTGGAACTGTCATATATGGTATTTGCTATACTGAGGTATAGTCCCTCTATACCTAATTTGTTAAGTTTTTTTTTTTCTTACAGATAAGGTCTCACTCTGTCACCCAGTCTGGAGTGTAGTCTCATTATCATGCATCACTGCAGCCTTCAACTCCTGGGCTCAAGTGATCCTCCTCTCTCAGCTTGCCAAGTACCTTGCTGGTTTTCTACTTTTATTTTACTAGAGACAGAATCTTGCTATGTTGCTCGGGCTGATCTCAAACTCTGGCCTCAAGTGATCCTCCTGCCTTGGTCTCCTAAAATGCTAAGATTATAGGCATGAGCCACTGCATCTGACTTTTTTAAAAAAATCATAAAATGATGGTAAATTTAGACAAGTGAGCCAGGTGCAGTGGCTCACACCTGTAATCCCAGCACTTTGGGAGGCCAAGGCAGGTAGATCACCTGAGGTCAGGAGTTCGCAACCAGCCTGGCCAACATGATGAAACCCTGTCTCTAAAAAAAAAATTTAGGCATATGCTAAGGTAGTGTATCACATTTATGGATTTGCATGCATTGAAACATTCTTACATTTTTAGGGATAAATCTCGCCTGATCATTGTGATAAAAAGGAATAAATCTTCATTTGAATTCAGTTTGTGGGTATTTTGTGGAAGATTTTTGCATCTATTTTCATCATATATTGGCCTTTAATTTTCTTTTCTCTTAGTGTCTTTGTCTGGCTTTGGTATCAGGATGATGCTAGTCTCTTAAAATGAGTTCAAAAGAATTTCCTCTTCTTTGATTTTATGGAAGGGTTCGAGAAGGACTGGCATTGTTTTTTTTTTTTTTAATGTTTGGTAGAATTTACCAGTGAAGCCATCTGGTTCTGGGCATTTATTTGCTCAGAGATTTTTCGTTACCGATTTAATCTCCTTACTACTTACAGCTTTATTCATATTTTCTATTTCTTCATTATTCAGTCTTGGTAGGTTGTGTCTGGAAATTTATCCATTTCTTCTATGTCATCCAATTTTTTGGCATGTAAGTTTTAGCCTGTTAAGATTTTTTAATATTTCTGTGGTATCAGTTATAATGTCTTCTCTTTCATTTCAGATTTTGAGTCTTCCTTTTTTTCTTAGTATAGCTAAAGATTTGTCAAAGTTGCATATATTTTTAGAAAAATCCATCTCTTAGTTTTGTTGATCTTTTATGTTGTTTTTCTAGTTTCTACTTTCATTTAATTCTGCTCTGATATTTGTTATTTCCTTCTTCCTATAAACTTTAAGCTTTGTTTTATTCTCTTTTTAGTTCCTTGAGATATATAGTTAGATTGTTTATTTGAGATCTTGATTGCAATAGGCATTTATTGCCATAAACTTCTCTTTTGGAACTGCTTTTCTGTATCCTATAAGTTTTAGTATGTTGTACTTCCATTTTTGTCTCAAGATAATTTAAAATTTTTTTCTTTTTATTTCTTCTTTGACCCATTGATTGTTCGGGAGTATGTTGTTTAATTTCCACGTATTTGACCTTTCCACCTTTCGTTTTGTTATTGGCTTCTGGTTTCATACCATTGTGGTCAGAAAACATACTTAATATAATTTCAGCATTCTTGAGTTTGTTAAAACTTGTTTTTTGGCCTAACATATGACCTATCCTGAATAATGTTCTATGTGTACTGGACAAGAATGTGTATTCTGTTGCATATTGGATGGAATGTTCTGTATATTTGTGTTAAGTCCATTTGATCTAAAGTGTATTTGAAGTCCAATATTTTGTAATTGATTTTTCCCTCTGAATGATCTTTGCATTGTTGAAAGTGGGGTCCTTAAGTCCCCTACTATTATTGCATTGTTGCCTACTTCTGCCCTCAAATCTGTTCATACTCACTTAATATATTTTGATGCTCTGATGTTGGGTGCACATATATTTATAATTATGTCTTCTTGATAAATTAACCCCATTATCATCATGTGGTAATCTTCTTCGTATGTTACAGTTTTTTACTTAAAGTCTCTTTTATCTGATGTAAGTATACCTAATTTTACTCTCTTGTAGTTTCAGTCTGCATGGAATATATTTTTCTCTTTCCTTAATTGCAGTCTATATATGTCCCTAGAGGTAAAGAGTGTCTTATAGGTAGGATATAGTTGGAGTTGTTTCTTTAAAATTTATTCAGTTGCTCTATCTGTTGATTGGAGAATTTAATCCACTTACATTTAAAGTAATTATTATTATTTTGAGACAGAGTCTTGCTTTGTCACCCAGGCTGGAGTCAGTGGTGCGATCTTGGCTCACTGTAACCTCCACCTCTTGGGTTCAAGTGATTCTCCTGCCTCAACCTCTTGAGTAGCTGGGACTACAGGTGTACACCGCCATGCTCAGCTAATTTTTGTATTTTTACTAGAGATGGGGTTTCACCATATTGGCCAGGTTGGTCTTGAACTCCTGATCTTGTGATCCACCCACCTCAGCCTCCCAAAGTGCTGAGATTATAGGTGTGAGCCACTGTGCCAGGCCAGTTTGTTAAATTTTTTTATCATGAAGGGGTGTTGAATTGATCACATGCTTTTCCTCTGTCTATTGAGATGATCATACGGTGTTTGTCCTTCATTCTGTTGATGTTATGTAACACACTTATTGATTCGTGTATGTCAAATTATCCATACATTGCTGGTATAAATCCCATCGTGTGTTCTATTTGTGATGTGCTGTTTGATTCAGTTTGCTAGAATTTTTTTGAGGATTTTTGCGTTTTATATACATCAGGAATATTGGCCTGTAGTTTTCTTTTTTTGTGTTGTGTTCTTCTCTGGTGTTGGTATCAGGACAAGGCTGGTCTTGTAGAATCAGTTAGGGATAATTCTCTCTTCTTCAATTTTACAACTTAATAGCTAAAAAAAAAATCCCATTTAAAAGTGGGCAAAGGTCATGAATAGATATTTCTCAAAAGATATACAAATGGCAAACGGGTATGTGAAAAAATGGTTAACATCACTAATAATCAGGGAAATGCAAACCAAAACCACAATGAGATATCATTTTACCCTGTTAAATGGCTGTTACTGTTTTTTTTTTCTTCTAGATTTTATTTTACTTTTTTAGAGATGGGGATCTTACCATGTTGCCAAGGCTGGTCTCTAATGCCTAGGCTCAAGCAATCACCCCACCTTGGCCTCCCACAGTGCTGGAACTACAGGTGTGAGCCGTCCTGCCCAGCCTGGCAATTATTAAAATGACAAAAAACAACAGATGCTGGCAAGGAGGCAGAGAAAAGGAAGCACATCTACCCTGTTGGTGGGAATGTAATTTAGTACAACCGCTGTGAAAAAGAGTATGAAGGTTTCTCAAAAAAAAAAAAAAAAAAAAAAAAAAAAAAAACTAAACACAGAACTGCCACACAATCCAGCATTCCCACTACTGGGTATTTACCAGAAGGAAAAGAAAGCAGTATTATCAAAGGGACACCTGTACTTACATGTTTATTGCAACACTATTCACAATAGCAAAGACATGGAATCAACATAAGTGTCTATCAGTGGATGAATGGATAAAGAAAATGGGGTATATATACCCAATGGAATACTTTTTGGCCATAAAAATAACAAAATTATGTCCTTTGCAGCAATATAGATGGAACTGGAGGTCAATAAGTGAAATAAGCCAGGCACAGAAAGACAAATACTACATGTTCTCACTCATATGTGAAAGGTAAAATCCATGATCTCAAGGAAACAGAATAGAATGATAGAAATTAGAGTCTGGGAAGGGTGGGTGTGTGGGAGGGAGTATGAAGAGAGGTTGCTTAACGGGTACAGATACATAGTTAACTAGAAGAATAAGTTCTAATGTCATATATCTAACTAACATACCATTCTATAGAAGAAATAAGTTCTAGTGTTTCTAGTTTGTCTATAGTGAGACCACAGTACTTAACCTACACTTAGCAGCAACATTTTTAATGTTTCAAAGTAACTAGGAAAGATGAAATGATATCAACACATAGACATGGTAAATACTGAAGGAGATGGATACCCCAAATACCCTGACTTGATCATTACACTTTCTATACATGTAACAAAAACTCAGTCATTCTGGAGAGCTCATATAACCTTTGTTTGGGGAAAAAGAATTTTGTGTCTTTTGCCCATAGCAAGGTAAAACCAAGCTCCCATATTATGAATGAACTGCATAATAACATACAAGTTTTATTTTATTTTTAGTTTTGGAGGTGTATCTCTACTGTAAAGAGGTCTCTGAGAAGCTTGGGTTAGAGCTGTTTACAGCTTTAGATAAAACAACTAGGCAAAAAGCTGCATAGCAAGTCTCTGTTTATCACTGAATAAATGGTATGGTAAATATATTTGTAAAACATAAATATATTTATAAAACATAAAATATCACTTACTAACCTTGAATAAATATTTGACCCAACACCATTTTCTTGATGAAATGCCAGCAATTCCATCATCAGGAAGATTTAGAGTTCTTCCCATTTTTATAAATCCATGAAAACTTTTTAGGTAAAGAACACCATTTATGTAAAAAATTACTCCATCCCGTGATAAAATCACTTGAGTTACATTCTGTCTTTCATCATCACTCAGAATGTTTGGAGGCACTCTGATTTTGGTCCAAGTACGGAATGAGTCATTTGTTTGATAGGTCTCCCTGTCAGTTACCAAAACAACACATGCAAAAACACAAGAATCATGGAAAGCAATTAGTTGACTACCACGCGGTGAAGAGATTGGTAAATAACCAGGAACTTCCGGTATAGTTAACATAGGAAAAGTCAACAGAACAAGAAAATCTGCAACAAAGCAATCTTGAAAAATCACTTGGTTTCCTCTAATCTCCTTTAGTGCATCATCTATTGTCATTGGTACCACAATATTCCAGGTCCTAAGAAGAGAAAGAAAATAAAATAAAATGATCTCTCCATCCTCTGATCCATTTTATACAGTGCTGATATTTATTATCCTTAAAACATTTTTAACTTTTATCAATATAAATCTGGATAAGAAAACGAATATTAAAATGCAACCACTACCACATTGTTTTTGTTATTCTTCACTCTGGTCCCAAAGGAAAACAATCTTTTTTTATTTTTATATATATTTTATTGCACTTTAGGTTCTGGGGCACATGCGCAGAACATGCAGGATTGTTGCATAGGTACACACATGGCAATGTGGTTTGCTGCCTCCATCCCCCCATCATCTATATCTGGCATTTCTCCCAATGTTATCCCTCCTCAACTCCCTACGCCCCACTGTCCCTCTCCTAGTCCCTGCCAACAGACCCCAATGTGTGATGCTCCCCACCCTGTGTCCATGTGTTCTCATTGTTCAACACCTGCCTATGAGTGAACATGCGGTGTTTGATTTTCTGTTCTTGTGTCAGTTTGCTGAGAATGACTGTTTCCAGATTCATCCATGTCCCTACAAAGAACACGAACTCATCGTTTTTTTATGGCTGCATAGTATTCCATTGTGTATATGTGCCACATTTTCCTTGTCCAGTCTATCATCAATGGGTATTTGGGTTGGTTCCAGGTCTTTGCTATTGTAAACAGTGCTGCAATGAACAGACGTGTGCATGAGTCTTTATAATGGAATAATTTATAATCCTTTGGATATGTACCCAGTAACGGGATTGCTGGGTCAAATGGAATTTCTATTTCTAGGTCCTTGAGGAATCGCCACAGTGTCTTCCACAATGGTTGAACTAATTTACATTCCCCACCAACAGTGGAAAAGTGCTTCTATTTCTCCACATCCTCTCCAGCATCTGTTGTCTCCAGATTTTTTAATGATCGCCATTCCAACTGGCCTGAGATGGTATCTCAATGTGGTTTTGATTTGCATTTCTCTAATGACCAGTGATGATGAGCATTTTTTCATGTTTGTTGGCCTCATGTATGTCTTCTTTTGAAAAGTTTGTCTGTTCATATCCTTCACCTACTTTTGAATGGGTTTGTTTGTTTTTTCCTTGTAAATCTATTTTTCTTTGCAGATTCTGGATATTAGCCCTTTGTCAGATGGGTAGATGGCAAAAATTTTTTCCCATTCTGTTGGTTGCTGGTTCACTCTAATGATTGTTTCTTCTGCTGTGCAGAAGCTCTGGAGTTTAATTAGATCCCATTGGACTATTTTGGCTTTTGTTGCCAATGCTTTTGGTTATTTTTGAAGTCCTCGCCTATGCCTATGTCCTGAATGGTACTGCCTAGGTTTTCTTCTAGGGTTTTTATGGTGTTACGTCTTATGTTTAAGTCTTTAATCCATCTGGAGTTAATCTTAGTGTAAGGTGTCAGGAAGGGGTCCAGTTTTTGCTTTCTGCACATGGCTAGCCAGTTTTCCAAACACCATTTATTAAACAGGGAATCCTTTCCCTATTGCTTGTTTTTGTCAGTTTTGTCAACGATCAGATGGTTGTAGATGTGTGGCATTGCCTCTGAGGCCTCTGTTCTGTTCCATTGGTCTATATCTCTGTTTTGGTACCAGTACCATGCTGTTTTGATTACTGTGGCCTTGTAGTATAGTTTAAAGTCAAGTAGCGTGATAGCCTCCAACTTTGTTCTTTTTGCTTAGAATTGACTCGGCTATGCAGGCCTAATTTTGGTTCCATATGAAGTTTAAGGTGGTTTTTTCCAGTTCTGTGAAGAGGGTCATAGGTAGCTTGATGGGGATAGCATTGACTCTATAAATTACTTTGGGCAGTATGGCCATTTTCACAATATTGATTCTTCCTAACCATGAGCATGGAATGTTTCTCCATCTGTTTGTGTCCTCTCTTATTTCCTTGAGCAGTGGTTTGTAGTTCTCCTTGAAGAGGTCCTTTACATCCTTCGTTAGTTGTAGTCCTAGGTATTTTATATTCTTCATAGCAATTGTGAATGGCAGTTTTTTCTTGACTTGGCTCTCTTTAAGTCTGTTGTTGGTGTATAGGAATGCTTGTGATTTCTGCACACTGATTTTGTATCCTGGGACTTTGCTGAAGTTGCTTATCAGTTTCAGGCGATTTTGGGCTGAGATGGTGGACTCTTCTAAATATACAATCATGTCATCTCCAAATAGACACAATTTGACGTCCTCCTTTCCTAATTGAATACCCTTTATTTCTTTTTCTTGCCTGATTGCTCTGGCTAGAACTTCCAATACTATATTGAATAGGAGTGGTGAGAGAAGGCATGCTTGTCTAGTGCCAGATTTGAAAGGGAATGCTTCCAGTTTTTGCCCATTCAGTATGATATTGGCTGTGGGTTTGTCATAAATGGCTTTTATTATTTTGAGATATGTTCTGTTGATACCTAGTTTATTGAAGGTTTTTAGCATAAAAGGCTAGTGAATTTTGTCAAACACCTTCTCTGCATCTACTGAGATAATCATGTGGTTTTTGTCTTTGGTTCTGTTTATGTGGTGAATTAAGTTTATAGACTCGCATATGTTGAACCAGCCTTGCATCCCTGGGATGAAGCCTACTTGATTGTGATGGATAATCTTTTTGATGTGCTGTTGCAATTGTTTTGCCAGCATTTTATTGAAGATTTTTGCAGTTCATCATGGATATTGGCCTGAAGTTTTCTTTTCTTGTTAAGTCTCTGCTGGATTTTGGTATCAGGATGATATCGGTCTCACAAAATGATTTGGGAAGGATTCCCTCTTTTTGGATTGTTTGGAATAGTTTCAGAAGGAATGGTACCAGCTTCTCTTTGTATGTCTGGTAGAATTCAGCTGTGAACCCATCTGGACCTGGGCTTTTTTTGGTTGGTAGGCTATTAATTGCTGCCTCAACTTCAGCCTTTGTTATTGGTCTATTCAGGATTTTGACTTCTTCCTGGTTTAGGCCGGGGATGGTGCAAGTGTCTAGGAAGTTATCCATTTCTTCCAGGTTTACTGGTTTATGTGCATAGAGTTGTTTGTAGTAATCCCTGATGGTAGTTTGTATTTCTGTGGAATCTGTGGTGATATCCCCTTTATCGTTTTTTATTGCATCTAGTTGATTCTTCTCTCTTTTCTTTTTTATTAATCTGGCTAGTTGTCTATTTTGTTGATCTTTTCAAAAAACCAGCTCCTGGATTTATTGATTTTTTTAAAGGTTTTTTTGTGTCTCTGTCTCCTTCAGTTCTGCTCTGATCTTAGTTATTTCTTGTCTTCTGCTAGCTTTTTAGTTTTTTTGATCTTGCTCCTCGAGCTCTTTCCATTTTGATGATAGGGTGTTGATTTTAGATCTTTCCTTGCTTCTCATGTGGGCATTTATTGCTATAAATTTTCCTCTAGACACTGCTTTAAATGTGTCCCAGAGATTCTGGTACATTGTATCTTCATTCTCATTGGTTTTGAAGAACATCTTTATTTCTGCCTTCATTTCATTGTTTATCCAGTCAACATTCAAGAGCCAGTTGTTCAGTTTCCATGAAGTTGTGCAGTTCTGAGTCAGTTTCTTAATGCTGAGTCTAATTTGATTGCACTGTTGTCTGAGAGACTGTTATGATTTCCATTCTTTTGCATTTGCTGAGGAGTGATTTACTTCCAATTATGTGGTCAATAGGAAAACAATCTTGACTTGTACAGCTGTTTTTTCTACAGTGTGTCTCCATATTCTCAAGTAAAGATTCTTATAATGTCTTTCTTAATGTATATGATTTTTATACATTCTCTATTACCTTCTCTTTTCTCTTTTATTACTTTTCCTTGTGGAACAGGGCTAACTCCTAGGCAGTGTACCCAGAGTCAGCCCTATTGCCTTCTTATATGGCAGAAGAAAATGTACCTCTTCCATGCCTACTTATACATCTTCTCCCCAACTCTCAAATTAGTTAACTTCTTTTTTTTTTTTTTTTTTTTTTTTTTTTTGAGACGGAGTTTCGCTCTTGTTACCCAGACTGGAGTGCAATGGCGCGTTCTCGGCTCACTGCAACCTCCGCCTCCTGGGTTCAGGCAATTCTCCTGCCTCAGCCTCCTGAGTAGCTGGGATTACAGGCATGCACCACCACGCCCAGCTAGTTTTTTGTATTTTTAGTAGAGACGGGGTTTCACCATGTTGACCAGGATGGTCTCGATCTTTCGACCTCGTGATCCACCCGCCTCGGCCTCCCAAAGTGCTGGGATTACAGGCTTGAGCCACCGCGCCCGGCCAAATTAGTTAACTTCTTAGTTAAATGAGTAGAGTGTTTATATTGTTTAGATTTACTGTTTAAATATTGCTTACTGCTGAGCCAGTTCTACTATGAGTATGTTTTATTTTCTCTATATACATACATACACATAACTTTTCCTGGAGTTAATAATTGTTTCATTCAAAAATTGTGGTTGTTTTTTCAGTAGGTAGTTAAAATAGCATTTTATAATATTTTCCATGTGATAAATGCAGAGATAATCCAGTACTTGTTTCCTAGGGTTTCCCTTCATTATTCTCTCTTAGCTGCCATTTACAGGATCTCATGCTCTGATCTTTTGTTTTGCTAAAGCACATTCTTTAGTACCTTCCTGTGAAAGGATGTATAAACATACATTTTTTGAGATCTTGAATATCTGAAAAGATCTTTATTTTACACACTTGATGAATAATAGGCTAAGGGGAGGGCATTTTCTCCAGTTCGTTGGTAATCAGAATCACTCGATTTTTATTATTTAAATGGTTGTCCTTCTGTAGGTTTTGAGGATCTTTCTTGTTTCTTGCTAATCTAAAATTTGACAGGGAAGAGTCTATCTTTTGAAAGGGAAGATGGAGTAATTTATGAAAACAAACACTCTGACATACCTTAAATTTACTCAACATTTTTAAGAAGAATTTCTCAGCAGGGCACTCCAAAAGATATACTGGGCTGAAAGATGTTTGGCAAATACTTCTTGAGTCACTCATTTTCTCAATACATACATACTTGGGTTGGTGATGATGACATTCTGCCCATTCAGCAGGACCCAGGTCAAGGGGACCTCAAGTTAGGCCAGTTGTAGAACTGTCACCAAACCTCTTATGCCTTAAACCATTCCAACAAAAAATTCAGTGCAATTTCCACATGAAGTCCTGGGAACAGGAGGCAAAAATTTGCTATTAGGTCTCTAAGGGTAATAGTGAGTGGTGCCACTGCCATTTCCACCATGACTCCTGGAGTTGAGAATCCTGGCAACCGGGAAAACAATACCATATATTAGGCATGATTCAGAGCATATACAGCCTTCTGGCAAACCTTGCTCAGCCATATTGCCACTTAAGAGGTCAATGTAATTGAGTTTTCAAAAGACTGTTTCACTATTCTATCATGCCAGCTGGAGAACATGGTAAGACCAGTGAATTTCAGAAGCATGGATCCAGTGCTGTCTTCTCTTCCTTTGAAGTGAAAGAAATGCTGTGTCAAATACCAGAAGAGTAGATAAGATATTCTGTAAGTCCACAAATGATAATGTAGAAGCATTGTGTGTAAGGAAGGCAAATCATATCCAAAGTAAGTGTCTATTTCAGTAAGAACAAAACACTGCCCTTCCATGATGGAAACAGTTCAGTGTAGTCAGCCTGCCACCAGGTAGCTAACTAATCACCACACAGAATGGTGTCATATTGGGGGTATGACACCCCCATTGTTCATATCTGCTTCTGGCAGATTGGGCACTCAGAGTTGGCCACAGCCAGGTCAGCCTTGGTGAGTGGAAGTCCACACTGCTGAGCCCATGAATAACCTCAATTTCTACCACCATGGCTACTTTCTTTCATGAATGCATTGGGTGATGACAATGGTGGCTAGGGAAACAGGCTGACTGGTATCCACAGAATGGGTCATCCTATCCATCTGATTGTTAATTTCATCTACTGATGTTACTCTTTAGTGATCATTCACTTGGGTACAAATATCTTCACAATTTTTGCCCATTCAGAAAGGTTTATCTGCATACCTCTTCCCCATATTTATTTGTCACAAATTTTCCAATCATGTTCCTTTGAAGTACCTAATCATCTAGCCAAACCATTGGCTGCAGCCCATGAACTGGTACATAATAGAATTTCTGGTCATTTCTTCTTTTACTTTCAGTTTATATGTGTCCTCACAGGTGAAGTGGCAGCTTGTAATTGGGTCTTATTTTTTAGTCCAATCAGCCACTTTGTCTTTTGATTTTAGAATTTAATACATTTACATTCAATGTAATTCTACTTCCATTTTAAAATAGTTTTTTTCGTTGTTTTGTAGATCCTTTCTTCCTGTTTTACTATCTTTCTTTTGGCTAAATTATTTTTTTCTACTAGTATGATTTTATCCCTTCCCTTTTATTTTTGTGAATCTAGTATAGGTTTTGCTTTGTGGTTACCATGAAGCTTACATATATCATCTTATAGTTATAATATGTTATTTTAAGCTAATAACAAGTTAGATTGAAATTTTTCTATATTTTATGCCACTCTTCCTCACAATTTACAATTTACATCTTTTTATATTGCATATCCCTTGAAAAATTATTGTAGTATTTTAATAGTTTTGGTTTTAACCTTTATAAGTAATTTAAACACCACCATTACAGTATCAGAATATTCCGACTTATTTTGCCATTGTTTTTTAATACTTTCAGATGTTTTCATATTACTCATAAGCATCCTTTCTTTCAGCTCAATGCACTACTTTTAGTATTTCTTGTAAGACAGGTCTAGTGGTGATAAACTCCCTCAGCTTTTGTTTATGAAAATCTTCATTTTTGAAGGATGGCTTGCTGGGCACAGTGTTCTTGGTTGGCTTTTATTTTTTTTAATTCAGCACTTTGAATATAAATGTATCATCCCATTCCCTTCTTGCCTGTAATACTTCTGCTGAGAAGTCTGATGTTAGGTGTATTGGAACTCCCTTATATGTTATTTGCTTCTTTTCAGGATCTTCTCTTTGTCTTTCATCTTTGACAATTTGATTACAATAAGTCTTGGGGTAGTCTTATTTGGATTGAATCTTACTGGTAACCTTTAATCTTTATGTACCTGGATACTATAATTTTCTGCAGGTTTCAAGTTTCCTATTTCCTTAAATAAACTTTCTACCCCACTGTATTTCTCTACTCCCTCTTAAACCCCAATGACTTAAACATTTGCTATTTTGATGCTGTTCCATGAATCCCACCAGCTTCCTTCATTCCTTTCATTTTTTATAACTGTATATTTTCAAGTAATCTATTTTCAGTTTTACAGATATTTTCTTCTCCTTGATCAACTGACTGTTTTTGCTTTCTATTGCATTTTTTTTTGTTCACTTATTTTTCAGCACTTGCATTTTTGTTTAAAAAAATTTCAATCTCTGTTAAATTTATCATTCTGATCATGTATTGTTTCCTCATTTTGTTGAATTGTTACTTTGCATTTTCTTGAAGTGCACTGAACTTCCTTAAAACAGTTATTTTGAATTATTTGTTAGACAGTTCATACATCTCTATCTCTTTAGGGCCAGTCACTGGCACTTTATTTTGTCCATTTGAGGACACCATATTTCCCTGATTTTTCTTGATCTTTCTGGTCATGCATTGATATCTGTGCACTGAAGTAGTAGATACTTATTCCAGTCTTCACAGTGTGGTTTTGTCTGGGAACACAATTCAACAGTAAGCCTGTCCAGAGATTCCAGGTGGGTCAGCTGGTGTGGCCCATAAACCTATGACTATGGCAACCACTGAAACGCTGGGGGGTTCCTTAAGCCTAGAACCATCACAGTTGGTACAGCACCAAGCTGGAAACCCCTGGCCACTGAAAATGATGCAGTGATGGGGTGTATCTTAAGTCTCCAGCCTCTGAGATCGGCTTGCTGCTGAGGTTTCTCCAAAACCTAAGGCCTCTGTAGTCAGCTGGCAGTGATGCAGGCCAGACACTGAGTCAATTTCCCTTAGCATTCTCCTTCAGGGATGCCCAAAAGGGGCTATGTTCCTATAGCTGTCCACTTTTTGGTGCTGCTGGATAGCATGCAGAGCCATCTGTAAACCAGGCCCAAATCTTCTTTTCCTCTGTTAACTCATTGTAGGGAACTCCCCATGAAACCATAGGTGCAAATGGGGAGAGAGAAGGCAGTGTAGCAGCAGTAGGAACCATGTGAATTTGGGCCACTTTGTCCTAAAATTTACTTGCCCCTTGAGGGCCTGTTAGGACCCAATCATGTATATACCACTTCCATCTGATAATGGAGTATTGTGTTGCTGTGCATGTCCAACATTATGACTCAGTGGGTCAAATAATACCCAATTCATGATGAACAGCTAGGGTTGCTGGGTAACTTGGTGGCCCATGGTCAAGCATTCAGTCTCTGCTAAAGCCCAACAGTAGGCCAAGAGTTGTCTCCTAAGAGGAGAGTAGTTATCCAAGGATGATGAAAGGGCCTTTCTCCAAAATTCAAGGAAGTGTGGTTCAATTTAGCTATAAGGGCTTGACAAAGGCTCTACATAGCATCCCTATGTGCCACTGACATCTGCTATATCAAACAGCCCGAGTGGCAGAGCAGTTTACACAGCAGCCTAGACCTATTGTACAGCCTTCTCTTGTCCTGGGTCCCATTGAAAACTCAGAGCTTTCTGGGTGACTTGGGAAATGGACAAGTGTAACATTTCCAAATGAGGAATATGTTGCCTCTAAAATCCAAAGAGGCCCATTAGGCATTGTGCTTCTTTCTTGGTTATAGGAGGGGCCAAATGCAAACATCTTAGACTTCACCTTAGAAGAGATATCTTGATATGCCTCACACAGGACTGCAAGAAATTTTACTGAGGTAGAAGGCCCCAAATTTGAGTTGGATTTATTCTCCACTCTTTAGCTTGTAAATGTCTTACTAATACATCTAGGGTCATTGCCACTTCTTACTCTTCACGTCCAATTAACATAATGTCATCAATATAATGGACCAGTGTGATATTATCTAATGGAATGGAAAGGTGACCAAGATGCCTACAAACTAAATTATGACATAGGGCTGGAGAGTTGACATACCCCTGAGGTAGGACGTTGAAGATGTATTGCTGTCCTTGCCCACAGAAGGCAAACTGTTTCCGCTGGGCCTCAGACAGGGATGGGAGAAAAAGGCATTTGCCAGATCAATAACTGCATAACACATAGCAAGGGATGTGTTAATTTGCTCAAGCAATGAAACACATCTGGTATGGCAGCTGCAATTGGAGTTACCACCTGGTTAAGCTTATGACAACCCAGTCATTCTCCAAGATCCATCTGTCTTCTGCACCAGCTAGATAGGTAAGTTGAATGGGGATGTCATGAGAATCACACCACCCCTGCATCTTCTAATTTCTTGATGGTGGCTCTAGTCTTTGAAATCCCTCTAAGAATTCATTATTGCTTTTTATTTACTATTTTCCAAGGTAGAGGCAGTGCTAATGGCTTATACATGGCCTTACTCACCATAATTATTCTCACTTCATAGGCCAGGAACCAATATGGGGATTCTGTCAGCTGCTAAGTATTATCCCAAGCATGCATCCTAGAACTGAAGGAATAACCATAGCACGGGTTTGGAGACCCACTGGATTCACTGCGAGACAGGCCTGAGTGAAAACTCCATTGATCATCTAACTTCCATAAGTGTATATTCTGATAGAGGCCCACAGTGACATTTGGATCTTCTAGAATCAGTGTCAGTTCATAGCCAGTGGCCAGTAGTCTGTGATATGTCTGATATTTCCTTTTCCCCAGTGTACAGTTACCCTGGTTAGAGGCCACAGGTCCCTCTGGGGTAGGCTGTGAGAAAGATTAACAACATAAATTTTTATAGTGTATCAAGGTCTTTCTTGAAGGGGATGCAGTCGCCTCTTTATTTAGGGGCTTTGGGTCTATAGTCAGGCTCACTCTGCTATGTATATATTTTTTTTTATCAAGTTTTCTTCTGCTCCCTGCTCTGTGCTGTTTCTTCTGATTCCCATTTTTCTGGTTATTGAGTCAGGTGTCTGACTTTCATGTTGCAGGCTTTCTGTAATTTTCTGGAGGTCCTTCAGTATACACTAATATTTAAGAGAGGAGCCATGACAAGGTGTGAGTCAGCT